TGACGGTAAATCCCATTATTCCTTAGTAAAAGAGTAGCCCAAGAGTTGTCGGTGGGTGTTGATGACCAGCTGCCTTCCCTCTAGTCTTACACTGCTAAATTAGGGACGGCTAGCGCAGATAGCCCTCGTGTAGCTTTGCGCGAAATTCAAAAACAAACAACCAATTATACATGAGAATCTTTGTACCGCCTGTAAGGTTTGGCGTGTTAGAACAGCTGCGAAACATTTGTTATTGAATATCTCTGGCTTCATAATATAGGATAAATAAATTTCAAACTCTTAAATATGATAAAACGTGGTACTCTATAAAAAAAGGTAATATTTGGAAATGGTGGCCAACTTGATTAAGTACTATTGCACACGTAGAAATTCGGCTGTAACATTGTAAATGCTGTAACGCCATTAATGGAAATATGAGCGTTAATAAATTCAGTAATAAACAAGAACAGGTTGTCTAATATGTAGTAGCCTGAAAGTACGCTCATTTTAACTGCTAACAAATTATTTTGTTCTTGAAATCATGCGTGGTGTGTGCACTTGTCAGACGGGTTAAGAGAATATGCAGTCCACACGTAACGCATCTGGACCCTTGCCATTCATCTGTTAGTCTCCTTGGTCCCTCGTTTCTGGGTCGATTACGAAAAATCCTTTCCATTGAGAGATTATATTCCACCAACCAATTCTCGAAGAACACAAGAATCGAACTGCACATGTAACCTTGAACTACTCTACCCTATTCACAAAGGTGACCTATTGCACGTGTAACCTTAAACTACTCTACCCTCTAAACAAAGGAGACCTATTGCACGTGTAACCTTAAACTACTCTACCCTGTAAACAAAGGAGACCTATTGCACGTGTAACCTTAAACTACTCTACCCTATTCACAAAGATGACCTATTGCACGTGTAACCTTAAACTACTCTACCCTGTAAACAAAGGAGACCTATTGCACGTGTAACCTTGAACTACTCTACCCTCTTCACAAAGGAGACCTATTCCACGTGTAACCTTGAACTACTCTACCCTGTAAACAAAGGAGACCTATTGCACGTGTAACCTTGAACTACTCTACCCTCTTCACAAAGGAGACCTATTGCACGTGTAACCTTGAACTTCTCTACCCTCTAAACAAAGGAAAGCTATTGTACATTAAACCTTGCTAAAACAAAAACATCAAATTTGCAATAGTTTTGTCACCCTTCAGGTGGATGAGAATGCATGAAAGGTGCATAGAGAAGACTGATTACAGTGAGGTAAGAAGGACCCCCGAGAGTAGTGGAATGGCATATGTTCGTTATACCTGTCCCGTGCTTTTGCCACTAAGAGTTTAAATACAAGTTAGTGGAAACTGGATCTTAAGTTCGTTGTCCTTGGGTGTCTTCGTTATCAACCAGAAC